TTCGTTTAATCCAATCGAGAGAAAAAGATTTTGAAAAATGACCAATTTACTTACTTACTATCCTTCCGTTTCTTTATTTTTTTTGTTTTCTGTATATCTTAAAAACCTGTTTACAATATATTCTATACTACTGACAAGCTGATTTATGCCAATATGCATTGGTACGTGTGTGTATGTGTCTGTTTGTATTTGGGTGTGCGTTAGGGTATGCCTACAGGCACCGATACACACATATGACTACTGACTGTACGTAGTACAAACAGCTTTAAATGTGCCTAGTGTCTTATTTTTCTCTTAAGGGATAACATTGTGGAAGTAATATATATATATATATATATATATATATATATATACATATATAGATATTAGTCCTGACATCACATACTTGTTTTGAACAAAAAAAGATTTACACCACAAACTGTATGTATACACACCCGACAATAGATACATACATAGAAGAGATCCATATAGCCATTACTTACTTATCACAACTAGGCAACTTAACAAAAGGTTATATATAGAAAAAAAAATAATAATTTTTTTTTGTAAACCGATGCATAACTACTTACAACAACAATATACGTGCACAAATAATATACTACTACTTATGCAACATATGCTATGATAAACTAAATGAAACCATACTGCCAAAAAGCATAATTTCTATTCTACGGATTTTAACGTGGTTACTGCTCTAGTACAAACAAACTAACAAACCAGCAAACCAGCAAACACACACATACACGCACCCATTTTTTCTGATTCTGTTGAAAGTAGTAGTCGACTAATTCTACTTCTTACCATTATCATCCTCTAATTCAAGTTTATAATTTGGATAACTTTTCAATTTTATTACAACAATAAAATAGATAGCTCAATTCATTCATTGTGTGTTCAGTTTTTGTTGTTAATTTAATTTCTCCTCATTAATTTAAACAAACTTTAAACACAATCAATATTTCAATAGTGAAGAAATTCATCAAACACTGTTGATTTGTGTTGTTGATTGTTTCAAAAAAAAAGAGTAAAAAACAAATTACAAATTAAAAATCTATCACTATTAACACAAACGAGTACACACATTGAAATCATTAAAATGGTGGCTAACTTCCCTAATGTCTGCTGTATTTGATGAATAGAAGAAATATTGAACACTGAACACTAAAGTACACATTTCATTTTTGGAATTGAACATTGATTGAACAATCAAAAAATAAAAAATGACGACTATTTTCTGTGGATTAAATATGGATTTATTGATTGTATAAGTGACAATTACTTTATTTTTAAAGAGAAAAATATTGATGATTGAAAACAGTGTGAGAATACAATTTTTGAAAATAACTCAATTAAATCAAGTAAGTTTTTTTTATGTATGTACAGTAAATTTTATTCATATTTATATTTATTACTGATAAGTATTTCTCATCATACTGATAATAATTAACAGTAATAATAATAATAATATGTCACTCAGCTATTTTATTTAAAGTAAGCTGATAACCATAAGTCAACTATTTTAAATGTATTGAAAAGTTAGACAGAAGTTTGAGCATAGATTTATTAGGTTTAAATACTCAGTCATGGGTAAATTTGTAGTCTATCAGTTACAAAAATTGACTATTACAAAGGCGTTTGTACTAACTGACAACACCACCTTTTACTCCGGTTTACATGGACTAGTGTCATTAAATGTCTAGGATATAACCTATTTAGACAGAAAGAATTTGTGGTAAAACTCTCATTTCTATAGTAAAATAAGTTTATGTTTTCATGATATTTGTCAATTAAAAAAAAAAAATTATTTCGCGAATATTCATCCACAATATTAAATTTAATTTTATGTCAACCTAATACCTTGATTATTCTTTACATGTGAGAATTATTTTCTTTTAATTTACCTGTTTTCGATAATTTTTTCCCAAAAAACACTACTCCCTTCATTCGACTTCATTTTGAAAAAAAAATAAATGATCATCAGTCTTAAAAAAAACATTTGAAATTACAAACCGATTTGAATAAGTCAACTTTTACAAGTTTGGCAGCATTGGACAGCTATTTCATACTAGCATGTGACTCCTTTTGCAGTAAGCGACCGCAATCCACTTTCACTGTTTGTCTAGCTTAGATTAGTTCATGATTTGAATAAAGCCAAACAATCTTTACAAACGAAAAACTGACAGCTTGAATGTTATAATTTAAAATGTTGCCTTACTCTTACTAGGTTTTTTAAATGTTTTATATATCTGTGCCATTTCAAACTCAACTTGATAATATAACTAAATGAAACTTTATGATATTTACAGTTGATGATGAGCTTTGAAAGTTTATAGTACATTAGTAAGTGCCTTAAATAATAGAGACTATTCATTGCTTCTCTGGTTGCTTACTAATAGCCCTGCATTTTTTGTACTTGGTAGTTTAGTCTAGAAGCATCCTGTGTCATTCTGAACAATTCAACCAACGTTTAGTTTGTCTAGAAGTAAGCCTGGATAGATATTTGATGATTGATTACGTTTGAATATTATGCTTTCTCCGTTTATCCGTGGATTCTCTCTCTATGTAATCCATCGATGTTTTCCGTATAGATTAGTTCAGTGGATTTATGTCAATATATCGACCAATTACTGATAAGTATGAACAACACATATAAAGTGTCAGATTACTCCTAAAAGGATGTTTGGACTAGTTGTCACCGATTAGTATGATGAAAACAGGGAACAGCTGATCCACTTTAACTTTTTATGTAGCGATGAGATTTAATGATATTCAAGCTTGCATTTGTCACCTCAGAGGGGTACTCACTAAGCTGTTGGGTCACGGTAACCATCGGGTTGTAGTTGGGATTATTTGGAAAAATTCCTATGGTAGAAGAAATCTATCCAGACCCATTTACGGATATCAGTAATAGGAAAATGTAAATACTTATTAGAGAAAACAGATTTAGTTTATATTTGTCTTATGAACAGACAAAATTCGCCTAGAATGTTTGAAAAGACAAATTGTTCTATTTTTAGAAAGTAATAAATTATGTTTTTTCTCTTTAAAAAAAACCAACAAACAAACAGGGATAAACACACAAATTATTTATTTTCCAGGCAGTTCAAATGTTTACAAAATAATGTTTACCGAATTTATTCATGCACATTATAATAATATACATCTATTTTGTCATATAAATTTGGAAAAAAATAAACCCTAGTGAATAATAGAAAATCTAACTTAATCGAATATTTGAATGTTAAATTAACTGTATCAGCGAAAAAACACCGGCAACCATCTGAAATTGTTTCGTTAGAGGAAATAAATTTCTGTTTAATGATTGATTTTTGCATTGAAATCATGTATTGTTAGACCATCTTTAGAAATCTGGAAGCATTGGACGGCTGTTTCTTCCTTGTATGAAACTCTTCAGCTGTTGAATATTAGCTCAGTGGTCTAGAACTCCAGTGTATGCGCGATCGCGAGACCGGAGGTCCCGGCTTTGACTGCTACGATCAGGGGTGATGAATGCGCACTAAATAAGAAGAATGCCCATATTAGGATGAAACGACTGTTCAATGCTTTCAGATTTCTAATGTCAGTCTAACAATGATTGATACATAAAATTCTGTGTAAAACATCAATTTCCATAACTCTGTAATGTGAAATTTATCGTCTGATAAGTTCTAACATGAATATATATCGGAAATTTAGTCCAGATATTATTATATATGGTCGGTCATATTGGAGTTAAATATATATCAGTAGCTTTACTAAAATTCACAAGAATTCGAAGAATAATGCATAAATTGTCATAAACGACATTCAGTTATATGATGATTTTGAAAAACAAAGTCAGAACGAGGTTTGTTTCAAATGGAAAGGTTTTTTCTTAGGAATAATACTTACACAATTCTATGATAGATCAGAAAATCAATATTTCAAGTAAAATAAATTTTGTATTGGATAAATAATAAAATAGAAGTAACATACATGTATATATTTGACTTAAAAAAAAAAAAGGATTGATCAAAATTTATCATAATATTGGTTTTTATTTTTGAAAAACTTATGAATTGGCTGTTAGTAAAAGTAAGAAAACTCATTCCTGCATAGATTGGGCATTTGGTGCTGTATTACTTTGACCAGTTTGAATAATTGTAAAAATTAGGTTGAAAAATTCTGATTTTTGAGATGGTGGAGAAAATTTGTTGTAGCTCAAATGGATAATTGTGGTAGAGTTGCCTTCTCTGAGCTGGCTGGATGTTTTGGTTGTGGAGCTCTCATTGTTCTCCCACTGAACAAAACATCATCAACGTAAACTTCAGCTAGTAGAAGTGAAGTATTCGAATTTCTCCACAGATTGACCAATAGCTTATTTTGTTAACCTCGAATCTTGATAAATCATAGGCAAACATGAGATCCTGAAACAGATTAACGGAGGATACAATGAAAACGAAGATGCAAACAACAATCAGTCGGGATCGAAGTCAACAGGACAATCTACTTGTCAATCTGTGGAGAAATTCGAAAACTTCACTTCTTTCTGCCTGAATTTTGCTCTGATGGTGATGTTGTGTTCAGCAGGAGAGTAATAAAAGCTCCACAACTAAAACATTCAATTCAGAAAACAAACGCCAACACAACCACCATACGCTGATCATAGATTTTTGTAATTAAATATAATTTATGACAAACAAATTGATTTCATTGATGAACCCAGTTGAAAATTGATTCACTCATTTTCAATATTCAATTAATTATTATTAAAGTTTAAAAAACACAAAAATGAAATAATTTACTGACAGACAAATAAATAAATATATTAATTTGTACTGGATAAATCAATTCTGTAGACTCATATTTCATTTAGACAGCAATTCTGTAAGACAATATCTTCAGGATTGTTTATACAATTACCTGGATTAAGTTCATGCAAGATGATAATCTATTTTTGAAATATTTTATAGTAAAATTTAATATATTTTATTTAGGGTAGAAAATATTTCAATTGAATAATGGAAAATTTTGTTCTTCAAACTCTAATCTTCCCTATTACTGTTCATACTTCTACTATCTCTACTACTACTACTACTACTACTACTACTACTACTACTACTACTACTACTACTACTACTACTACTACTACTACTACTACTACTACTACTACTACTACTACTACCATTAGATTGGAATCGACAACTGAGTGTCTATGCTAATGTGGTATGGCAACTTGAACTGATATACGTACGTAGATAAGTACGAGGTTCTACACTGACTGACTTACAACCTATGCACCCATTCGATGAGTAAAGAATACTGTCTTTTTTTCTAAAGAGAAATGTGGACATAACAGTTAAAGAAATCATGAATCAATCATTATTAGACCACCATTAGAAAACTGAAGTCAGTGAAAGGCTATTTCTTTCTAGTATGAGTCTCATCAGCAGTGTGCATCGACCACTCCTGCTAGCCACAGAACTCGAACCCAAGACCTTCCGTCATGCGCACGAACCCTCAACCCCTACACCACCAAACTACTCAACCTCGCCCGTTGTCTTCGGTAATTACTGCCTATACCCAACACGAGCTTGAACTCCACTGGTCACGTCTTCTTACTAGAACTCCGAGAATATTTCATCACAATGCTATTCATTGTAGAGTATATGTTTTTGATTTTCCAATATATTAATTTCATAAAAATGAAAGTTATAACAACATGTTTAACACTGCAATTGTGTGATATTTTCCTCCCAATCACTTTAACTAATCAATACATCCAGTACAATTTCCTAAAAGTTGAATATTTTCTCTTTTTTTCAATATACAATTTTTATTGTTCATACATGTTCAATGCTTTATTCAGTGTTCAATAGATATAATTTACGGATAATCAATTTGAAGCGGTGTAATTGATTTACAGTTATGCACCCATTCGATAAATAAAGTATATTGTTTTTTTTTTCTAAAGAGATATGTACACATAACTAGAATGTCGGAAAATATTCATCATGTACTTACCGCCAGTGAAAAACTCAGTAAGATAATTTGCAATAAACCAAAAAGAAGCCATGGCCTTCATTCAGGTTGACAATGAGTTAAACTTCACCATAGATAGTTAAATAGGAGTTACGTTGCTTAGTAAATTGACTGAAGCTGAGAATATAAATCATGGAATACGAACTTAGTGGTCTATAGGTGAAGTACTATTGACAAGGTTCAGTCATCTTGAATTCTGTCCTTGTTAATGTCATGGAAGTAAACTGTTCAAGATACTATTCCAAAGACAAGAAAACTACACAAGGCTTCCTGGTATTTAAGAGTTTTTTTTTAATAATAAAGTCAGTTAGTGGTATAAATCTAATTTCAAAAAGAATTTAAATTTGCCAATGAAACTAAATTTTACTCACGATCATTCATGAGATAATTAAGTAGTCAGTTAAATGAACAAAGTTTGATAATTGAACAAGATTTTTATTTTTTCAAAGAATAATAATTGTGTTCCATTCAGTACTAATGATGATCATTACTACTATGATATTTGGTTATTTCAATTTTGTTTATTTGTAGAAAATTTAGTCAGCTGTTCATTTTCTATTTTGCTAAATAGATTCTTATAATTAACTTTGGTCAATTTATTTTTTTTTATCTCATGCTAAACTGAATACTGTTTCACACGTATTTATAACTTGAATGTATATATACATAGAACTGCAGTTAATCTTCCAAGGTTATATTCCATATTGAAAAAAAGTGAAGAAATTTTATATTCTTGGTTTTTTATCAATAAATTTAAACTGTCTACTTAATTCGTCACAAATAACTCTCAGTTACAGAACCCCCACACTGCTATTTCGTTCTAGTAAGGGAATTCTCAGTAGTGTATACTCAAAAACACCCAAAGGATCGAAATCAAGATCTTTATAGATCGTTTTACTCTTAGAATCATCAGGACTAGCTCCCAGTTGTTTATTTTTGATTAACTTGAAATAAACAACCACAATCATTCAAGATCACTGGTGATAACTAACTTCAAACATGGTTGATTTTTACATTAGCTATTGTTTCACATTAATAATATTCCAAGACTTATAACTTCAAAGAAAGTAATGTCCCATTGGAATACAATTAAGAATGTATATTTGATTTTACATGAACAATGTCAATAATGTTATTATTATTTATAACTGTTTTGTATTTATTGTTTTCAAATTACGAAATGTCTGCTAAATTAATTCAAACAAAAATAATCCTATGTTATTGATCATTCATGAAAATAAACAACTTGAAGTTATTAATCATTTTTTAATATTCAAGTCAATAGCTTATGTAAAACAAAGCTTACTTACTTGCGCCTGTTATCCACGAATAAAGCATAGGCCGTCCACCAGTTTTGTCCAACCAGCTCTGTCCTGGGCTTCCCTCTCCAGTTCTGTCCAATGTTTGTTCATTCTTCTCATGTCTTTCCCTATTACTCGGCATAATGTGTTCCTTGGCCTTTCTCTTTTCCTTTTGCCTTGAGGATTCCAAGTGAGAGTTTGTCTCGTGACGCAGTTCGGTGCTTTCTACAGTGTGTGTTCTATTCACTTTCACCGCTTCTTCCTGATTTCCTCCTCCATTGGAATCTGGCTTTTTCTCTCCCACAGTAGATTGTTGCTGATGGTGTCTGGCCAATGAATCCGAAGTATTTTGCGTAGACAACTGTTAATAAACACTTGTATCTTCTGGATGATGGATTTGGTAGTTCTCCAGGTTTCCTCTCCATACAGTAAAACTGTCTTGACGATTGTATTGGAAATTCTGATTTTGTTGTTGACTGATATTTGCTTGGAGTTCCAGATATTCTTCAATTGTAGAAATGCAGCCCTTGCTTTTCCGAACCGCGCTCTGACATCTTCATCAGATGCATCTTGATAGTTGATGATGCTGCACAGATATGTGGTGTAAACGTGCTCCAAAGCATCTCCATGAAGAGTGATTTGGTTGGTGTATGTTGTGTTGCATCGGAGAATTTCACTTTTTACTTTATGTACAAAAACAATGTAAAAAAAATAGCAGCTGACTTTAATTCAGATAAAGATTATTTAAAATTGAAACTTGATCACTGAACATTGTGATGATTAGTTTTTGATTTACAATCTTATAATTAATCTTCATTTATCAAACACAAAAATTGATTGAATTATTTTGAAAAAGAAAATGGTTTCTTACTTAAATCACACAAAAAAACAAACAATCAATTGTGATTATTGAACATGAGAAATTTGTTTAAATTCTAACTGTCCTCCATGATGTTATTGATAATTTAATCGTAAAAAAATGTCAAATGACAAATATAATTATTAAATAATGAAACTTAGATTTGACAATGAAATATTTTAGGATAATTACTTTTTAATACTACAAATTGTATAATAATAATAATGTTTTTTAAGTGATTAATCAATTTATTTCCAATATACTGGAAATTGTTATCATTAATTTTCGTGCAACCACATAAATAATTGAACATAACACTAAAGTTCCGATAACAAGAATTACATTCAAATTGTTAATAAGTAAGGATGACGTATTTCAGGAAATAATCAAGAGGTGTTTTGTGATTTAAATGTATTCTCTAACTTTAACTACATATATTGACTTTAATATTGATAATACTCACAGTCAAAATTGAGCACTTTTGTCTCCAGCTCCTAATTTTTACATCTGACTCTAGTTGGACTCTTAATTCCTAACATTGATCTTTCTTCCTTCCTTCATAATCATGTTAAAACTGTTTACCCACCTTCAGTTTTATCACGTTTTTTTATTATAAGTCGTTTCAAAAACTAAATTCTGCTTTTTAACTCAAAGGTATACTCGCCAAACTCATAATTTTATTATAGTTTTGCTCACTTTAATATTTAAAAATTTATCCAGAAATACTTGTTATCATTATTATCGCTATTAATCATGATGAGTCCCATACCAGAATGACGAAACGACCGTCTTTCAGTGCTTCCAGGTTTCCAATAATGATCTAACATTATTGATCGATTGATGATTTCAAAAATGTGTAACTTCACAATCTTCACAATGCCGTAATGCAATCATGTTATAATCACATTCAAATTCTACTGCTCAGTTCATATCAGTTTTCAGTGATTACGTTCATGGTCACGTACCATGGTCAAGTAATGATTTTTGATAGATAATGGGAAAAAGAAAAACTTATTTACAATTGATGTCGATTGTAATCTGTTCAATACTTTCATTTATATATATATATATATGTATATATATATATATATATATATATATATATATATATATATATATATATACAGAATAGGCAAAAATAGTAGTATAAGTGATTTTTAGAAAAAAATAAGTTAGTATTTTTTTGTTGATTTCTTTAACAGGAAATATTTTATTGTGTATACAAAAAGAGTTATATTTGTGTTATATATTTAGTTGGTTGGTTGGCAATTAAAAAAACTGATGAGCATTAAATGAAATCATAAGGTCTTCTATGTGTGTACTTACTACATTCAATTAAAATTGAAATATGTTGTTATAAACAACAATAACAAGGTTGATTTGTAATAAATTTAATTTTGAATTGGCGCTCAAAATCATTATCTACCTTAGTTTAAAAATATTTTTTTCATCATTTCAATATTTCAGTTTATTAACTTGGCTAGTTATTAAAACGCAATGAGTTTATTTGGTTCTAATCAAACTAAACAGTTTTCTCATTGGAAAACACAGAAGATGGTGGCTAGTAGAGAAATCCAAGGCGTGTGTTTCATTTTATTTGGAAATCGTCAGCTGGATTTACCTTTATCCCAGATTTATTTATTTAAGATGTCAGACATTGAATTAACATAAGTCAATAAATAGTTTTCTTAACGAGAAAATGTCAATCCACAATATCAAAACAGTTGAATCAGCAGTTAAGAGGTTAGGCGTTTCCTCACGAGACCAAAGGTTCTGGGTTCGAATCCCGTGGACGAGGGTCCTTGATATGCATCGCTGATGTGGTGGGGATGTTAGATCCTTAGAACTCACTTGATAAATGCCTTATCTTGGATTTCTCGCTTGCGAGCATGTGCTGATCAGTTGACCTTGAGATTTCATTTCTCACTAGAAAAATCCTTGGTAGTGATTGGCTACTGTGTATTTTAGCGTGCTATTTTCGTAACTGTCCCAAGGACGTTTTTATGATGTATATATAAAC